GGTGAAATTAAAATTCACTTTAATAAGGCAAAAGAATTCCTACAAAAATTCAAAACAGCAAAATCAATGATGAGTAAAATCGAAGTTGGCATAGCCACTTTCGACTATTTTACAAGTATTGACTTGGGGTTCTAGTCTAACAAACTACAATTCCACAACTGCAACTTTTGGTTTTAAACTCATCTCATCCTCATTTTTATATATATCGTTCTTCAATGTTTAGACTGTACATAGTTTTATTTACCCAAAATTTTACCTTTTCTGTACTTAGTGTCTTCTGTGAATTAGTGCTTTGGACTCTTAACTGCACTGCATTGGTTCTCATAAGCCATGCCTACAAGTTCAAGTTTTTCATTTAAATATTAACTGTGTATATAGTGCAAATTGTATCTTTCCTCATAGATACTAAATTACTAAAGGAAACATTATATACTAAAGGAAAATACAAAAATTTAATTCAAATTAAGCATTTATTTAGCTTAATTAAGAACTTTTATCGAATTTTGCTTACTTCATCATCGACCAATCAGGTGCCTTCTCAAGACCACATGACTTCTCTGACTGCCTACACGCCAGCGTAGTGCAAGATGAAGAACATCTTCCCTTTTGACTCTACAAAATCATGAACTTGCATTTTTGACTTTTCATTTGTGCAACAATGTACTGAAGTACATCTTTGATTTCTTAAACCAAGCAAATGTTTAAATGGCTGTAATTTTCAGGATACTGGTTAAAACTCTTAGTAGTTAATGCCAGAATAAAAGCTAAGATCCTAGATGCTGAAATTGTAGTTGATGACAAATATCAATCCTAGCATATGAAGGAATTCTGGTAAAGCCTCTTCTAGAACAATATATTAACTTTCATTGCATTTCATTGGTCGTAGATATATACTAGTCTGAAAGTTAATCAGTGTACTTACTTATGCATTCTAAGAGAATCATTTTTGGAATGCATGTGAGTTTGAGGTTGCCCACACAGTGCAGTTATGCAGAGTGAAAACACCTTTGTACAGTCAAAAGTTGTTAATCCGGACTCGTCGAGACTTCGGCGATTCCGGATTATTGATTTTTCCGGATTATAGGTCATCAATTTAAATCTGGTAAGATGGCATGCAGAAATTATAAAATTAAAAATATGAAACCGTAATTTATGAAATAAAGAACAATTATGATCTAAAGGGTATAAAAATTTACAAAAAAAAAAAAAAAAAGCTTAATATTTATTTGTTTACTTTTACTTTCTCCACTATCGAAAGCGAATTATAATGACGAGGAATTTGATTTAAATCATATCAAAGACGGAGTACATCGAGATGCAATACTACATTTAGTAAGGAATTATAAGCCAAATAAAATAAAAAAATCTGCCCTGAAGATAAGGATACTGCTGACAGATCAACTTCCAATTCATTGCATGCCGCAGCGGGGGGACGCCGCAGAGCAGCGTGAAATTGATAAACAGATTTCGGAATGCTTAGATAAACAGAGGATATGCCTTTATCAATTTTTTGCAGCAATTCCACTTTTTGTTTAATGGACTTCGAAACATACTTTCGCTTTGTAGATCCTTTACATATTAGTAAATATATATCGGAAATTCTATTTGACATACTCGAAAGTTCAAGCTTACTTTTAGAAAATTGCTCTAACAGTCTGCAAAAAATAATAAGCCGGATTCAATTCGAAGATTAAGGAACAACGCAATCTGCAACATTAACAGCTTAGCTTACACCGTCCGTTATACATTAAACGCTCATGCGTAAACGTATTATGTGCTTGCGCACATGCATATTCTCAGCCGAAAAGGTCTTACGCGCACGCGTAAACGCCTATGCACAGAAAGTTTGTAGGTTTGAGGTCCGGATTATAGATCATTCCGGATTATGGGTGTCCGAATTAACGACTTTTGACTGTATATAAAAATCACTGAATGTGAGTAGTATTTAAGCTGAGAAGTTTGGGCACAATACACTGTGCTACAAAAACTATTGGAAGAGAATCCCTTGTGAAGAGGTGTATCTCCTGTTTTCGTAGTCTCGGTTCTTTGAAAATGAAATGAGTGTTATTGTTCTTCGTTTAGCACTCGTGCTTGTGCAACATGCAATAGCTCTTGTATTTGTAGCTGGTCTAAATTTCACAAGATTCCAGATGAATATATGCAAGTTTGAATGTCATACAACTGTCAGTTGATCCATTTCCTGCTTGCTGACATTAAAAGAACTAATTTAAGAAAGTTGGCTGTGTAATTGTTCAAACATTTTCTGACTCAGCATTTGTCTTTTGGGAAAGTATTCATTATGCATCTGTAGTGCTGCTGTGCCTTTACTGGTTGCAGCCACATATGTTAGCCACATATCTGCCTTGTCTTCTCCCTCCATGGGCAACAACGTAGTTGTAAATGGCATGTTCCTGCAGATATATTGCATTGATTGGTGGCAAACCTCCTATTGCCCTGCGTCAGCAATGCTGTTAGTTAATCATTTCATTGATGCTGCTAAGTATGCACTATCACTGTTAATGGTGCAGTTTTGAAAAGATATTGTAAGCATTGCAATACAGGGACAATTAATGCTTTGTTTTAAACCTATTTCTTGTGTTCTTCAATTTGTCACTTGTGCTAATGCATTATTTTATAAAAAATTTATATTGTAGTATGCTGTACCACACCTTAAAGTGGTTCACAAGTTCTGAATCACTTCATGTATTACTGCAAAGTCTGTAATTCCTGACATTTACTTTAATGAGGTGGTAAAAATATAGAAAATGCTCATAAAATGGCTCCATTTTGGTCTTTTACCAAACCAATTTGGAATATGCCAAAGTTTACCAGAATGAGATAGTATAAGACCTTTTCATTTGACTGTGCTTTTTAAGATTTTGTATTTTTTAATTATTGATTATTCTTTGAAACTGTACATTTTGAAATATTCTAACCAATTTTCTTGTATAAGGTTAACAGAGTCAGTTGGATGTTTGGGATCTTTCCTATTTTAGGACAACTTGTGCCAAGCAATAAATGATCTATAGAAAGATGCATGCAAAATGTCACCGATTGACCATTATTAAGTGAAATTGTGTTTTTTATCTCTCCTTTATTCTCATTTTCAAAATAAGTTTTTCTTATTAAGTTTAAGTGTATCATTCTATTTTTTAAAATTAAAATAGCTGATGTAGAAGATTATTTCTGATGTTTAGAAAATTTTTGCCATAATCGAAGTGAGCTGATGGCAAGTGTATGCTTTCTCACTGGAATATCAAGTTGGTACACACATCTTTCTAGAGAAAATTGTTTTGTGCATGTTGTTCTATTACAAAATAAGATCCAATATTTGTTTTGCTGGGTGCATCAGGTCTATCTATTTAATTATTATAATTTAAAATATGTGTAGGTGGAATAGGAAATAAAAATTCTATACTTTTTGTCATCAAACCAACCATAATAATTTTCCTTTTTGTTTTTACTTTCATCATTTGCAATGGTTTGATGACAGAAACAGAAGCATTTACAAACACTTTTTTGATTTTTACCACCTTATTATGGTAAATGTGAAGATTATCAGTGAAAAACTAAGATTTTACCAGTTTTGAGGGATTTTACAGTAACATATATATAAATATATATATCAGTTTTATATGCAATGTGATTCAAAAGTTCCTGAACTCTAATTAAAAAAGATCATACTTTTATTTTATTACTGGTTTAATTTTTTTTTTTTTTTTTTGTATATTTAGAGTGTTAACCTGTATTATTATTAAATTGCTAGGTTGAACAAAAAATATATGATAGAAGATGCTAGAAATGACCATGGTCTTCAGTACACAAATCCACGTGATATCATGTTTCTTATCGCTCTTTTCTGAAGCTGCCGACTGGGATATTAAGCTTGGCTAATTATAATAACTGTTTCACAGATCTTTTGATTTCTAACATATTTCTAAGAGAATAATACCTGTGTTTCTGAGCTAGAATCATGTTGTTCTGACAGTCTTTTCTTTCTACTTTTTGCTCTCTGTATTTGACAGTCTGCCCTGTAATGTACTGAAGTGCTTTACTGAAAATAAAATACATTAAGCCAAAGAGCAGGGATGGCTCCTGAATTGGTGCAACCAGTGTGGTCACACCGGGTGACAGAATTCAGGGGCAGCAAAATTTTGATAGTTTAATAATAGTAAAAAGCAATAAAATTTAGGAATGATGTATTTTTAGAATTTAGAGGAAGCATTTTTCAGTAGAATGTAGGCTGGCAAAATTTTTTGAATTTAGGGAGGGGCAAGGCAGCAGAAAGAATCTACAGAGATTGTACTGGGCGCAAAAATGCCTAGTGATGGCTTTGCTGAAGAGCAATAGTTGGAGATGTCCTGTGTTAGAGTTTGAGGACTTTTGAATCATGCTATTTATATGTTTTGTTTTCAAGCATAGTGCAAATTACATCTTTAATGAGTCGTCGTCATAAAAAAATTGCAGATTGCATCTTTGATGAATGTCTTATAATATAAATCTTACGAGAATTTTTTTTTTTCCATTTATTCATATAAGAGATTTATGATTTTTCACCATGAACATGTGTGTTAGTTTCGTAAATGTTGTGTTACCTTAAATGAGAATTTGAAGCAGTTAATAAATATAAATAATTACTCTGGATTTTTCTTATACATGAATAATGTTGATGCTTAACTAATGTACTGGCAATTTGCTTTACTTTATTTTGCTTAAAATATGTTGTAAATTATATCATTTATAAAAAAATTCCCTAGTCTTTATTTTTAAAACCACCTTTCTTGAATTTCCTCTTACTAATTTTCACACTGTTTACTGCATATTAATGTAGCTGGAAAAAATTAAGTTATTCCATATTCTTTTAAAGATAATTAGTTTGATTCTGGTTACTGTTAGGGAAAAAAAAATTTTTTTTTTTTTCCTTTTTGCTGCTCAGGTTATATTTAATAGTTATTTTTCACTGCTAGCAATTTCCTTTCAGTAGCTGTTTTTAATTGCAGCAGCCCAGAGGTTGAATGCCCCTACATATGCAGGAAAATCAAACGAAGAACCTTTATACATGCTTTATGATGACACCCATAGACAACAACTATGTTCTTCACGAGGTTGGTGGTGGTGCTATCTTTCTTGCTTTCTAAAGAATAATTCTTTATTAGCACGTCTAACTATGCATTTTCTTCTAAAATTCTTGTTTTCTGTGTTTGCTTAGTACCTTACTATGCATGACTTTGCTCATAATAGAGTACTTTACACTTTTTGTCATCTACATGTAATATTTTAAAAATTTACTTATAAGCGCTTGTTTTTCATGCATTAACTTATATATATTGGAAGGGATAAAATTTAAAACTTAATTGCTTAATCACAGTTTTGGTGGGATTTCTGTTAGTTATTTTGTTTCTAAGGTGTTTTTAGCAGATTGCTTTAAAGCTCAGAGCTGCTACACATTGAGTAAAATGATCTTATGAGACTGCATTTTTAAGTGTGGATTTTATGCATTTGTATACAAGAATTTATGTGTGTGTATGCTTGTGTATGTGTTCGTATGTAGCTCCTCCAGGAATCATATATATATTAAAGAAATATTGATTATATTATCTCCTAATATAAATTTAGTAGAAGTATCGAAAAAGAGGGAACCCATATGTAGGAAGTTTAATTTTGAAAAATGTGTTTTCAAGTTACTTGAATGTAAATTATGAAAAAAAGTTTGACAGCGACTTGAATTTAAATCATGAATAAAAAAATTTCGAACTTTGAAAAAGAAATTAAAATTTAGAAACAAGTAATTATCGCTATTGATCGGAAATTAGTTGACTTTTAAAGGGAAACAAACCAACTCCTGTTCAATGAACACTAATTAATAAATGCGAAGGTGTTTCGTCTTTTACTCAAGTAAGAATGATAATGGCAAACTTGACGACGAAGCACCTTCTCTTTTATTAATTATTGTTCATTGAATGGGAGTTGGTTTGTGTTCCCCTTGAAAAGTCAACTAATTTCCGATCAATAGCGATAATTACTTGTTTCTAAATTTTAATTTCTTTTTTAAAGTTCGAAATTTTGTTATTCGTGATTTAAATTCCCTGTCAAACATTTCTTTCATAATTTACATTCAAGTTACTTTAAAACACATTTTTCGGAATTAAACTTCCTACATATGGGTTCCCTCTTTTTTGATACTTCTACTAAATTTATATTAGGAGATAATATAATCAATATTTCTATAAATTATTATTATTTTACTTTGCAGCTATTGCACAAGTATTAGAAAAACTTGTTTTTGAACTAAGTAAATTTTAGATCATTCAACGTATACAAGGGGTGATCAAATGAAAAGGTACGAAACTACGTAAAAATGTAACAGGTAAATATTTGCATATTCCGCCATGGGAGAAAGTAAAGAGACATCTCGGGATGCAATTAGAGTCTCTGACTGGGATCAGAGCATGTGCAGGCACCTGCATGCGCAGGAGAGAGCAGAGGTTCTTATCAAAAGCGGCGTCCAAATGATGCGGCAGTCCATATGAGAACAGGATGGCGTTCGCATATTCGACGACTGAGGAGCAGCGAGGTGTTATCCGATTTCTGACAGTGGAAGGTGAGAAACCAGCAGCTATTCATCCCCAGATGGTGACAATTTATGGCGAGAAATGTGTCTCTGACAAGTCTGTCAAAAAATGGAGTGCCCGTTTTGGTGCAGGCTGTGAGAATGTGGGTGATGACCCGAGACCAGGCCAGGGAAACGCTGTCATCACGAGCGATCTCATTGACAAGGTGGACAACGTAGTGAGAAGCGAATGTTGGCGGTGAAGGTGGATGTCAGCTATGGAACCATGTGGACAATTTTTCACAACAGGTTGTGATATCCGAAGGTGTGTGCCGCTTGGGTTCTGAAGCAGCTCACCGACCAGGAAAAGGAACTGCGTATGGGGCTAGCACTGCAAAATCTGTTTCGGTATCAGGAAGACCCTGCTTTCATGGAGCAGATCGACATAGGTGATGAGACCTGGTGCCATCACTACGGGCCAGAGACAAAGCGGGACAGCATGCAGTGGAAGCATGCGTCGTCACCTCCCCCTAAAAATTTCAAAGCAGTGCCGTCAGCAGGCAAGTTGTTGCTCACCGTCTTTTTCGATGTTCAAGTTCCGCTACTTGTGGAATTCCTCAAGCACGGAAAAACCATTAACTCCAATGTGTACTGTGAGACACTTCAACGCCTACGCAGGTCCATCAAGAACAAAAGACCAGGGCTGCTCACGGAGGGTTTGGTTCTCCTCCATGATAACGTGTGTTCACACGTCTCCAGAGTCACACACATGGAACTGGCCAAGTTCAAGTGGGAGACATTGTACCATTCGCCCTACAGTCCGGACATGTCGCCCTGCGATTTCCATGTGTTTGGTCCACTGAAGAAACACCTGAAAGGGAAGCGCTTCAATTCGGACGACATACTCAAGGACGCTGTGAAGGACTGCATCTCGTCACAGCCACAGGAATTCTGGGAACAAGGAATCCTGCGGCTTGTTCATGAGTGGGATCAATGTGCTCAGGCCTATGGTGTATGTTTTGAATAAAGTCTACATTTGTACCCACTGTGTCCTTTTGTACCTTTTCATTTGAACACCCCTTGTATAGATAGATTCAAAATAAAAGTAATTAAAAGTAAATTAAAAAGCCCATGACTTAGGCTAAAGCTGCAAAGTAATAAACAAATAATTCATAATTTATAATAAGAAAACTTTCCATATACTATTTCCAAGGAAACAAATTCATTAAAAAAAATTCAATACAAATTCAATTAAAAAAAGTTAAAATTTTTTCATTCATGCTTTTAAATTGAATTTGTGTTCCTTGGAGATGGGATATGGAAAGTTTTCTTAGTGTAAAATGATAATGTTTTAATGACACATTTATCATCATTTAACTCTTAATATTGTCTTTAGCTTAATAATAATGAGTATTCAATCAACATTTGGATTTCATTATACACTTGGCAATGACAAGAATTTAGATTTGTGTGGTAATTGCCAGTACCTATTCAGCTGCATGTGAGTGAAGGAGCAAGGTGTAGTGTCCAGGCAAGAGTCATGCCACGTTGACATGCAATGATTATTCTTTAAAAATACTCTCTAAAGCTAATCCAGCTAAAAAAATATTTTCATGGTCTTCTTTTTATATTTTGTATAAATAGTCACTGTGTAATGCCTTTTGTTGTTTGCACTGCCAAATCAGTGTGTATAATAATTGGAACAGAGATATTTCATACTGTGCTTAAAATGCTGGGGTTTCTATAAATTTCTTAGACATTCTTAGAAATGCTTATTTTTTACTGATTGCCAGTAATGTGTATGGTGATTCACTGGGCACAAATTAAAACAGTTGGGGGCCCAAAGAAAAGCATTTGTTCCGGGCCTTCAAATTCATACTTTCCCAATTTCCACAAAGGGGGAGTAAAATTATGAAGAAGTGATTTTGTTGCCCCTTAAAATATGGGGTCTTGTGGCTAGGCAGTATTCAAGCCCTATGTCTCACAAAAGTCATTAGATGTTTTTACTTTCTAAAAATTATGTCAGAAATTTAAAGTGCATACAATTATAACTATGAAGCATTGCTTTCTTTGAAATATGCATTTATGTAATTTTTTCACATTAAATTTTTTTTTTCAAAAAATAAGATGTTGAACTTGCATTTTAATACTTTCTGTTTATAGAGCAGGGAAATTATATCATGAAACTCATCAGATGCTGCTGAGATTTCAAACAAAATAATCTGTAATCTTAGTAAATTTTCTTTTAGTTCTTTTTTTTTTTTTTTTTTTTAACTTTTTGTTATCATCGCTGTTTGACACATGTGATTAGAAATTTGTAAATTAGTTTTGTAACTTGAAAAAGAGAAATATATTGGGAAAGATTCTGAAATGGTTAATGTTGTCATAAATATAAGGGGCAGTCAAATGGAAGTGAGACAGACTGTATAACAAGAATGGCACAGAATTTGGTAATGCAGGTAGATTTGTGGGTAGAAGTCCCTCTGTAGGGAATCGGGAAGGAACAGCACAAATGCTAACTGCTGTGTCATTTGTCTATTAGACATGCACGAAATGAGGTCAGCGAGTAGTGTGTGCACCAGCCATCAATACAGGGGCTGGGAAAGAGGAGCTGCATGCTTTAATGTGTTTTTGACTGCTGTAATATGTTTTTTGACTGTGGAAGGAAAGTCAGGAAGTGAAATTCATGCCCTTGTGTCAGCTGTGTGGCAAATACAGTATGTCATGTGCATGTGTTTGATTGGAATAAACGATATCGAGAAGGTTGAGTGTCACTGAAAGACATCAGTCACCCAGAGCAAGCTAATCATGACATTACTCCTCCTGTCATTGCTGTGGTGGATGCTGCAATCAGAGAAGACCGATGTTAGAAGACATTTGGCTAATGTTGGGCATTAGTCATGATACCACTCGCGCCATCTTAACAAGAGCATCTGAACTTCTAGAAAATATGTGTGCTGTAGGTTCTCCACAGCCTGACTGAGGAGCAGAAATTGAACAGAATGTTGACATCATTACAGCACCTGGAACGGTATCATGAAGAAGAATATTGTTTCCTGTACTGCATTGTCAAGCATCAGAGTCAACAATGGAAGCATATGAGTTCATCCCCACTGGAGAAATCCAAAGCTGTGCACGTCAGCTTCAGCAAAGTCATGTTGATCTTTTTCTTTGACTGCAGGGGACCCCTGCTAATTTACTTTCTGGAACATGGCACCACAATTAACGCACAGCAGTATGTGGAAACTTTGAAAAAAATTGAAGCATGCCATTAAGTCCAAATGCCTGGGAATGTTACAGACAGCATCGTTCTGTTGCAGGATAATGTCCGCCCACATGTTGCCACAGTTGTTAAGGCTGTGCTGCAGAAGTTCTGCTGGGAAGCACTTATGCAGCCCTCATATAGTCCAGATCACTCCCCTTGCAATTTCCGTATTTTTGGAGCCCTGAAGAAAGACGTTTGTGGCCGTTGATTTGCTTCGGATGAAAGCCTGGGTACAATCATGGTTCTGCAAGCACCAGAAAACATTTTTCCAATGTGGCATTCACCATCTT